GTGCTGTAAAGAAGCATTGTCCTATCAAAGTGTACTAATATCTAAGCATCAGCATTATTAGTATTGGTTCAGAGCATCAAAGAAATACATCCAGTCGATATGAGGACACATCAGCTCGTTATATATGTTATCGGAAAATACGACATGGCTAAACCACAGCGGTTGGCGAGTGTTTCACCGAGTGTCGGAAACTTTGTGAAGAACCGCAAGCCTTACGCACGATCTGAGAGCAAATGAGCCCAGGCGTCGTTGGGAGATGAAGGAATAAAAGGCGGGAAGTGTTACGCGCTGGGATCAGAAAGGAGTCCCTTCTGGCGCCTTTATTGCTCGCTGCGTCGCCTTAGGAGAGGAATGAAATGGAAGAACCGGCATCCTACGTTATGACTCAAGTTCTCGAAGATCCTTACAAGTCTCTCCTGGAAAACCTCTCCGTGCAGTATCCTCACATCGACTGGTGGGGGCCCTTCAACATCACGTCGTATAACCTCACGGACTTCCCTTTCCTCCTGGACGACGACGACGGAGCGGGAGGAGGAGGAAGAAGAGGGACGGGAGGAGGTCTAGGGTACATGGAGAGCGCCGGCGAAGCGAGCAACGCCACCGGAGGAGCGGCGCTTCTGTACGAGGTCCCGACCAGCCTCGTCGTGCTCCTGTCGTTCTTCTACGGCAGCATCTCCCTCGTGGCCGTCGTCGGGAACGCCCTCGTCATGTGGGTCGTCGCCACGTCCAAGAAGATGCACACCGTCACCAACTACTTCATCGCCAACCTCGCCCTCGCCGACATCATCATCGGGCTCTTCGCCATCCCTTTCCAGGTGAGGCCAGTGAGACAGGCGAGAGATCTTATTCTCACCTCTCTCTATCTCTTAAACTTTATATATTCTCTCTCTCTCTCTCTCTCTCTCTCTCTCTCTCTCTCTCTCTCTTCTCTCTCTCTCTCTCTCTCTCTCTCTCTCTCTCTCTCTCTCTCTCTCTCTCTCTCTCTCTGTCCTCATATCACGAGTATATACAGTTAGCATACTGATTTTATCGGTTATGTGAAATTACTGAAAAAAAGAATGTTTCTGTAATCATGCCATTCCTCAGCTCATTTTTTTTCTTTTCTTGTCTCTCTTTCCTCTTCCTCTCATTCTTGTCTCCTTCCTCCTCTTTCTCTACCTCGTCCTTCTCTTCCTCCCCTTACTCCTCATCTTCGTTCTCCTTTTCTCCGTTTTTTCTTCTCCTTCCTCCTCCTCCTGCAACTCCTCCTTCTTCTCTTCCTCCTCCTTGTTGTCTTCTTCGTCTCTTAAATTTTCCCACTTACTCTTCCTTCCTCCCCTCTCCCTCCTTCACCCCTCTTCCTCCTCCTCTCCTTCCCTTCCCTCACTCTCCTCCCCTCTCTACCTCCTTCCCCCTCTCCTCAACCCTTCCTCCCTCTCTCTCCTCAACCCTCCCTCCCTCTCTCTCCATACCACTCCCCCAATTTTTCCTCGTCTCATTCCTTCTTCCTCCCTCTCTCCCCTTCCCCATCCTTAGTTCCAGGCGGCGCTGCTCCAACGCTGGAACCTGCCCCATTTCATGTGTTCCTTCTGCCCCTTCTTCCAAACGGTGAGCGTCAACGTGTCCATCTTCACGCTCACCGCCATAGCCGTCGACAGGTACCGGGCGATCGTCCACCCCTTCACCACAAGGCCTTCCAAGCTGAGGAGTAAGGTGAGTTCAGGGGAGGGAAGGTGAGTTCAGAGGAGGGAAGGTGAGTTCAGGGACAGGAGGAAGGTGAGTTCAGGGAGGGAAGGTGAGTTCAGGAGAGGCAGGGACAGGGGAGGGAAGGTGAGTTCAGTCAGGTCAGGAACCAGTGAGTTCAGGAGAGGTGAGTTCAGGTGAGTTCAGGAGAGGGGGCAGTTGAGTTCAGCAGCAGGTGAGGTGTTCAGGGGAAGGTGAGTTCAGGAGGGAACAGGAGAGGGAAGGTGAGTTCAGGAGAGGGAGGTGAGTTCAGGGGAGAAGGTGAGTCAGGGAGGAAGGTGAGTTCAGGAGAGGGAAGGTGAGTTCAGGGAGAGGGAGGTGAGTTCAGGTGAGTTCAGGAGAGGAAGGTGAGTTCAGGGGAGGGAAGGTGAGTTCAGGGGAGGGAAGGTGAGTTCAGGGGAGGGAAGGTGAGTTCAGGAGAGGGAAGGTGAGTTCAGGGAGGAAGGTGAGTTCAGGGGAGGAAGGTGAGTTCAGGGGAGGGAAGGTGAGTTCAGGAGAGGAAGGTGAGTTCAGGGAGGGAAGGTGAGTTCAGGGGAGGAAGGTGAGTTCAGGTGTGAGTTCAGGTGAAGGAGAGGAAGAGGGAGGGAGGTGAGTTCAGGAGAGGGAAGTGAGTTCAGGGGAGGAAGGTGAGTTCAGGAGGGAAGGTGAGTTCAGGGAGGGAAGGTGAGTTCAGGGAGGGAAAGGTGAGTTCAGGAGAGGGAAGGTGAGTTCAGGGGAGGGAAGGTGAGTTCAGGAGAGGGAGGTGAGTTCAGGGAGGGAAGGTGAGTTCAGGGAGGGA